TCCAATGCCTCGATATAACCTGAATGGATAGATGTTCGGGATGTCCTGGTATTATGAATGACACTTGGACTCTTTCTCGATGGCATGACCAAGTGAGCTATGATAGCCGATGACACCTCGCGACTTGAGATGATGTCAAGACATGTGAGACACTGGAAACCTAGATGATTTGAGATACGATGTTGTATTGAGAGACCTTAGTCCCGAATAGAGGAAACGTCAAGCTGGATGTAACAACCCATATCCACCGCTAGCAGATATTATCCTCTTTGAGCTTACAGCCCATATCCACCGCTAGCAGATATTGTCATCTTTGGGCTTTCCCTTTCGGGCTTCCCCTCAAGGCTTTAAAACGCATCCCAATGTGGGACATAACAATCCACCCCCCTTTGGGACCCAGCGTTCTCGCTGACACTCTTTCCTTCCTCCAATCGATGTGGGACCGCCCCCAAATCCACCCCCTTTGGGGCCCAACGTCCTTACTGGCACATCGCCTCGTGTCTACCCCCCTTCGGGGAGCAGCGAGAAGACTGACACATTGTGTGGTGTCTAGCTCTGATACCATTTGTAATAGCCCAGATCCACCGCTAGCAGATATTGTCCTCTTTGGGCTTCCCCTCATGGCTTTGAAACTCGTCTGCTAGAGAAGGTTTCCACCCCCTTATAAAGGGTGATTAGTTCTCCTCCCCAACATATGTGGAACATCACACTAGATGACTTGGCTTAGTGTAGAGCCAACTCGAGTTGGGTTGCAGAAGATGGAACATACACGTGCAGGCGGCATATGTGATCAAACAAACTTAGATTCTGTACAAGTTGTGTTCCATTGATGAAGACAAACCTCGCATGAAGTTCGACGAAACCACAATGCTGAGCAAAAAATATATATGGTTAGGGTTCCCTACAAGGCTAGTCCTGAGCGTGTCAAGATCACGACACCATATGATTATAAAAGTACGACCATGACACTAAACATATGGGGTCAGGATATCCTCCTCCACTTAAATTCATTGTCATTTCATTCATTTGCACCGTAAACTTCATCGGGATGTTTTAGTCGGTAGATGACTAAGGGACTTGAAATTTTCCCTATTGCAATGAGATCTCCAACATCTTCAAATGATGTTGAAGAAATTAGGCATTCCGTTCGATTCTACGACGAGAACAAAAGAAGTGCAAAAAAGAAAACAAAATCCCAAACCCTTCTATTTCTGTACACTAAAACCAAAATAATCCCTTCTCTCATACAATTTTGAGGCGAGGAGCACATGTTTCCAGGTATCTTTCTAACTCAACCAACTTCATTACACCAAACAGTATCACCATTGTACTGTGGAAGGAGATATGGACGTGTTCTTGGTTTTGGTTTAAGAGGGTACCAATGCCTCGCTGTCTTGCATGTGAACAAGGCCTTCTGGCTTTCTCTCTGCTACATGCGATCATCTAACGCTATAAACCCACCACACCCATCTGCCACTTTTCATTTTGATTCATTCATTTCACTTCCCCACACACATTCAACGAGAAGGGTCTGGACATAACCCAGTTTTTCGTTCTAGGATTTGAGTTCAATTTTACACAACTTTGGCGAAAATCTTGAGAGATGTAAATAGATCATTGGTTGCTTGTTGAAATCGTCTGTGGAAAGTTCGTATTCTCTGTTTTTTTTGGGTTCCCATTCTGATCTGGGCTCTGTTTTCTTCTTGAATTTGCATTGCACACAACCTGTTTGATAATTTGCCCGAGAGAAAAAAAGGGTTGGGGAATATGGATTTGTTGGGTTCTGAGTGCAGCAGTGGGTGTGAGTCTGGCTGGACTTTGTATTTGGAGCAGTCTTTTCGTTCACAAGGCTGCTTAGATCACATTGTTGGCGGAGAGGAATATTGGAAAGCTAAAGGTTCTGAAGAAGAGGAAGAGGAAGAGGAAGAGGATCTTTCCATGGTTTCTGATGCATCTTCTGGGCCTCCACATTTCATAGAAGACGAAGCTTGCTCCCAAGATGCATCAAAATCAGCCACATTGGGGAAGAGAAAGGGCAAAAAACAGAGAATTCAAGAACATCAATGCCAGGGGGAGCCTTCTTCTTCGTTCCTAGACGACACTGCTAGCTCTCCTGCTCTCAACTACACTGCTGTAAGTCTCCAAAACAATCTCTTTTAGCCCATTTTTAGCTTTGTTCTACAACGATTATACATTTTGGCCAATTGGGTACTCATCAAAGTTAGCTTCTTTCAAATCTTCAGAATAAGTTCACCAATCAAGCCTCAATGAAAAGCTTCTTGGGCTTCTCTCAAACTAGCCACTTCGAGGTACTTGACTATTTTACACTCTGGTTATCTTCACTCTGAGCATAAACTCTCTTAGCCTTTGCTTTGGGTTTCTCTAAAAACCGATGTATTCCTTACTTATAAATCCATAGTCATCCCTAAACAGCCATCACCAAGACAAATGTCAACAGCAAAGATCGGCCTGTACAGACCATTTTGGGTTCCTTCAAGCTTCTCTATCAGGAAATAGATTGCAGAAGAACCAGTTAAGCTACTTCCTCTGTTTTTGGCTAATCACTGGGCTTGTTTTTGAGCATTTTTGAACTGGATTGTTCTTATTCTGGTTCTTTAACAGGTGGTTTGAAGGCGAAGGAGGAGGGATAAGTGGCTTTATTTTTGCATCACTTTCTTCTTAAAAATGCGTGGGAAATGGATCTGCTGAAGAGATGGGCTTTGTTTCCCTGTTTTTTTTGTTCTTTTCCATCTTCATTTCTTTCCCTTTTTGTAACGATCAATGCAATGGGAACCATTTATGGTAAGAGATTTGTGAATTGGAAACAAATCTGAGTAATGTTTAGAACAAGATCACAAGACCCACTAACTTTCATCCAAATAATGCCTAAAACTTTAGATTTTATTAGGTGGGATTTTATCAAATCCACACCAAAACTCCAAACAAAAAATTTAAATTGAAAATTTTGGTTCACCCAAAACTGTCTGCCATCATTTGCTTATATTGATTTTGTGATGTGATTTGTTTAAGTGATTCAGCAGACAAAAAAAATGGAAGTTGGTCTGATTTGTTCTATAAAAAAAGTGCTCAATAAATTAATAAAAAAAAAATAGCAATTTGGGAATTTAGGATGTCAAATTCTAATACTGACCACATGTCTCTCTCTCCATTTTTTTTTTTTTTTAATAACATTATGTATATTTTATATTTTATTGAGATTCAGTTCTTCCAAGAGAGAGAACTAATTATTATTTTTTAATTGATTCCATTCATTTTTTTTTTTTTTTTTTTTTTTTT